GTCAGCAATGGTCACTGTGAGTTTTCAGTCTTGTACTGAACTTAGAAACTATATTTTGTTCTAAAAACTTCCAAGATCTTCCCTGATCCATTGCATTTTCAGAGATTCAAGACTAAATTTAAGCATGCCAATTTGGAATTCATACTTTTAAGTATTAAGTTTGACAGAGCTGTATGTGATTGATTGAATAAACTGAATACATTTGTAACCTTGTTCCTTGTTCTGTTGAACGGCAGGTTCAGAACCATGCCACCCAACATAAGTGAGGTAGGAGAAATAACAACACCATGTCTAAGCTAAAAAAAAAATCTGTTTTACTCTTATTTTCCATATTCATGGGTGTAATTGGCATTGAAACTGATACTATCAATTATTTAGTGGGGTCTAATAAGAACTGCAGAGTGTCACAAAGTGTTGAGTTTAATTAGGTTAGTATAATTTTATTGTAGCAGTTTGTAGTTGAGTTTGTAGACCAACTCAAACAACTCAACAGCCACAGTGGATCTCCAGTCCAGTCCTGATTTGTCACAGTACATTATGTAGGAGTAACGCAGTCAGAATTCAATTGTGAATTCAAGTGTGCGTTTTACAGTGTCAGTTTAGCATCATTATATAATATTGAAATGATGAGTAATACATATTTTCTCATCTGTTTTACAGTAAGATTTCTGTGACATGTAGACAACAAAGTCATTTTTCAGGTGAAGAGAAAAACCATAAGTCAGTGAGATCCCTTTAGTGGTTGGTGTTTTTGTACAGCTCTTCCTCTGTTTCCAGTCACTGTGCTTTGACGGGCACAGAAGTAAACAGCAGAATCTTCTGCTGTCAAACTCTTGATCTCAAGATACTGTCTGCTGCTGGAGTCTTCTTCAGTCATGACGAAACGGCTTTGGAAAGTACTGCCATAGATAGCTGAGTTTTCTCCTGTATCCATTCTACCGATCCACTCCAGAGCTCTCCCCGACCTCTGTCGTATCCAGTGCAAATAGCTGCTTGTTGGGTTATAGCCAGATATGATGCATGACATCTTCACTCTCTCTCCAGGTCTCTTCACCTCAGAGTTAGACTGCTCTAGTTTGTTCTCACTCCAAACTCCTGCAAACACAAGCAAAAAGAAAGTAACCAACATAAATCAGAGTATTGTCTTTATGTTTTAAATAATACACTGTTTTCTTACCGTGGAAACATATAATGAATAATAAACCCCAGGAATTTATACGTTCCATAATTTAGACCACTTTATAATCAGCACGTATGTGTGGTTAGAAAGTGTCCCAAGCTGTTGTGTAAAGAAACTAAATGAGAATTGATGATGATGTGTTTATATCTGAGCAAAACTTTGCATAGACCTCCCTCTGCAGGAGCCATTTGGTATTAAAAGTCAGTCCACTTTTTGTATTGTT